GGAAACTCCCTCCAACCTGTGCTGTCCAGGAGGGTCACCACTGACCACAGGTGGCCTCTGAGTCCTCGAAATGGGGCTGGGCCGAATTGGGTTATGCTATAAATGGAATTTTCAAGGACTAAGTAGGCAAAAAAAAAAAAAAAAAAAAAAGTAAAATAGCTCATTAAGCATTTTTGATATTGAAAACAAGTTTTATATTGATTACATATCAAAAAGATAATATTTTAGGTAAGTTTGGGTAAATAAAATACATTATTCAAATTAATTCCACCTGTTTCCTTTTATGTTTTATATTTTATGTGGTATCAGGACATTTAAAGCTGTATATGTGACTTGCATTGTAACTTCTATTGGACAGCGGTGGTCTTGAGGCACAGCCTGCCACACAGCCTGCCACAGTGACAGCGCCAGAAAGGACGCGGATAATGGCAATGGCGTCTGACTGCTTCGGTGGTGCCCTCGCTGCTCCCGGGTGTTACTGCAATTCAGCCTTCCACCAGTGCTGCAAAGTGGAGAGCGCAGGCTCCATTCATCAGACGAGGAAACTGAGGCTTGGAGGGGGAAGTGCTTGCTTGAAGTCCCCCAGACCAGGAAGCCCTAGACTTACTGCCCTGTGCCTTTCTTACAAAGGATTGGCGGCAAAGATGGACTGATATGGCATCACTGGGGTGTGGGGAGAGGTATGGAGGACTTCAGCAAAGCCCCATGTCAGCTGCTCCCCTCGCAAACAGGACCCTGGGGCTGCCCTTACCAGCGGTCCTCTTCAGCATCTGGTGCGTGGCTATATCAGCTAAGCCTGGGTCCCGGTCCCCAAGAATGCTTCAATGGGTGTCTTAAGATGTTGAATCAGAGAAGTCATTGGAGGCTGCTCTGGTCTGTTGTCTGCTCTAGGAGGAACCAGGACTGGGCTTTCACTGAGTGAGGATGTTTATTGTCTAACAATAGATGCTAACGTTGTCAACATCCCCATCTCCCAGATGAAAAAAACAGGCCCAGAAATGTCAGGTGACATGCCCGAGGCCCCCAGCAGGGGAAAGATAGGGCCAGCATTCAAGCCCTGTGGGTGGGCTGGTTCTGTCACATTGGCTAGGGATCAAACGCACAGAGTTTGGGAAGCCCCAACATTCTGTTCCATTTTCCCGATTTTATGGATGAGGGGAATGAGGCCCAGAGAAGGTCAGAAAGTTGCCCAAGGCCACACAGTGATCTCCAGAGAATATATGAGGTCAGAAAGGACCCTGGGAGTCTCTCTTGGCTAGATCTCCTCCTAGCAACACTTTTAGTTAGGAGATTGGGAGCAGGGTTCCAGCCATCCACATGTCCTGCCTTCTCCATGCAGCCAGGGAGCTTGGGCTGCAGGAAGATGGAAGGCACGTTTACCCCGCCAGGCCTCTGTGAGCTCACTGTCTAGGCATCCACAGCTCCGGATCCCAAACCCACATGTCCTTGAGACGCATGGGAAATGGGGTGGCCCTGGAGACTCAGTTGGAGGGGAACAGCCCCCCCCCTCCGGCAGCTTTGTGGCCATCCCACCCTAACTTTCCAGGGTTCCGGTCTTTGGCCAGCCCCCCGCACAACCCGTGCCCTTGCTGACTCAGGCAGGAAACCAGCCCGGGCAGTTTCACTTCCTGGTTCAGATGCAGCCCCTCTGGCCTGCCCAACTGGCAAGATTTACTTCTTTCGTTTCTTTTCTTCCCTTTTGGAACACAGGTTCATGGGCTAAGCGTCAGGGCCTCGTTGGGAGAAGTGGGCATTCAGGCGGAGGGGGATGGCGGACACAGGAGAGGAAAGGCTGAAAAAGCCACATCTAGTGACTTCTCTGGCTCTGTGGGGAGGGCCAGTGTGACAGGCAAGAGAGGACAGGCTGAGTGACTAGTCTTGCTCTCCACTCTCTGGACAAAGGCAGCTCTCACAGCCCTCAGGCTCCAGAAGTCTCCACACTGAGGAAAGGGTGTTAGCATCCCCATTTTACAGATGGGCAAACAGAAGTTCAGAGAGGTGACAGGACTTGCTGAAGATCACACAGCCAGGAAGGGGCCGAAACTGGCACTGCACTCAAGGTATAGGTATTTTCCAGAGTCTGGGGCTCTTGGTTTCAGCACCAGTGCTGGGCTTCTGTGGACAGGGGGAAGGAACAAGCATAGAGGGAAAAGTCATGCAGGGCAGTGAGGCTATTTGGGAGGCCAAGGGAGTGGGGAGAAGGGGGAACAAGTGGGTTGACATTCCAGACCTCATACCTGTTGCGCCTGAATGCCCTTCCTCGCCCCTGGGGTCCTCCTCAAAAGGACTGGCATTGTCCGGAGGGTCAGAGGGACATAGGGAGGTGGTTTACAGGAGTCCCTGGCCCACCTGGGCACCACCGGCCGTGGTGGGGTTGGCCTGGTTTCCATGTGCCTCCTGGTGGCCCAGGGAGGGACCAGAAGACAGTTGGAGCTCACCGTGTCCCAGTGCTCGCTCTTCTGAGATTCCAGATAAAGGTTAACAATTTCCAGAAGAGGGAATAATCATGATTCTCATAGGCACATAAAGATGGACACAGGTTAACATTTTTATTGAACTCATGTGGGAACGAGGCAGATGTTATACGGCTCAAAGACAAGTCTGGAGAGCAGGCACTTCACATTATCAGACTATTTGCGCAAATAAACGTGCAGATGGGGGCAAATTGTTTTTTCTGTAGTGGAGGAGGGTTGTCAACGAAACCTCTGATGGCCGGGATGGAATTTGCATGTCTACAGATAAGTGGTTTTATATTGCTATCAGTTGCTTACAATTTACAGAACTGAGAGTTCAAAGACAATGCTATGAATCAGATAACCCGGAAGGGTGTGTTGTATAGAGATGATGCACTGAATAATCAGAACTGATTCATTGAAATGCAAAATTTTCCTCGCAAAAAAAAAAAAAAAAAGGGAAATAATTCATGACTTCCTTCATTCAATGAACACCTGTTCATTAAGCACCTCCTGCACCGTCCTAGGTGTTGGGGACACAGCAGTGGACAAAGACCCAGAGAAAAGCCTAGAGCCATGTGGAGTGACCACTGCTGGGGGTGGAGGTGCGGGAGGGCAGAGGAAGGGTCTCTGAGGGGACGTCCGGGAGGGGAAGGGAACCACAGCAGGAGGCAAGACCGAGAAGAAGCAGGGGTTTGCAGGGGGCAGCCTTGGCTGGCTTTCCCAGTTTTCTGTTTTCCCCACTAGGATGCCAGTCCTCAGCTCTCCCTCGCTGAGATTGGCACAGAACAGGTAGACAATAATCTGCTCAGTGGGCAGAGGGGGTCCATCTCAAAAGGCAGAAGCCACTCACTGCCTGCTTAGGGGAGATGCCGCTGTGCTGTGAGCAGATGGCACAGGCATTGGGGTTGCCTGAGTGGGGCTAAAGGAAAGTGTGCGGGTGTGCAGGTCATACGCCTGAACGCAGCCCTGCCCTCCAGTCCTGCAGCTCCTTTCCCCCAAGCCCACCCCCGCTGAAACCTGAGCATTGGGTCGGGGGAAACTCCAGGACAGTCTTTCCATCAGTTTGGGCACAGCTGCTGCAAGTTCTGGTATTTCAAAATGTAAATCCGTATTTTTTGTGTGAAATTGCTCACTGTATGTATAAAACCAATCTTTTTTTTTTTTTTGACAGAGATCACAAGCAGGCACAAAGAGAGGGGGAAGCAGGCTCCCTGCTGAGCAGAGAGCCCGATATGGGGCCAATCCCAGGACCCTGAGATCATGACCTGAGCCGAAGGCAGAGGCTCAGTGGGGAGCCTGCTTCTCCCTCTCTTACTCTGTCAAATAAATAAATAAAAATCTTAAAAAAAAAAAAAAAAACACCAAAAACCCAAAACATGACTCTAGTACCCATTAGCAATTGCGTCAATCATGGATCCCCCCGCCGCCCCCAGTCAGGGTCTGCTCTCTGTTGATTTGCCTGGACATTTCACATCAATGGAATCCTACAGCCAATGGCCTTTTGTGGTTGACTTTTCATTCAGCACATCTTTGGGGGACATCCATGTTGTAGCACGCTGGAGCTTCCTACCTCTTTACCACAGAAGCATAGTCCTAGTGCAGACACGCATGCTACCCGCCCCCTGCGTTGTTGAGGGCTACCTGGGTTGCTCCTAGTTTTAGGTGACCGTGACTGACACTGCTGTGAACATGCACGTACCAGCTGTTGGCCAAGTCCCTGCTCTCAACCCTTCTGGGCATGTGCCTCGGAGTGGAACAGCCGGGGCAGGCGGTAATTCTAGGTGAAGCACTTTCCACAGTGGTTATCCCCGACCTTGTAGAAAAATGTTGGTAGTTCAGAAGTCTTTGACCACCACCATGTGGGACCAGAAAAGCCGTCTGCAGTGGGTTCGCTGGCTGGGGGCCAGTCACTCCCAGGCGCCGCCACCTCCCCCAAGGCAGCGGCTCAGTGTCACCCTGACTGTGGCCTAATTCACCACCAAGCAATGATGGAGGGGCCTAGGAGAAGCAGGACAGAATCTTGGTCTGGAAGAGACAGCAGCTGGTCGGTGGGGAGCGGGGAACCTGCTGGTGGTTGTGCAAATCTCTGCTCTGTACTGTCGACGACACGACCTAACCAGGGCATCACGAGGGCTGAGGTGGCGTGGAAAACACTTGAACAGTGCCTGGACCACTGGTGGTACTACATGAACACAAGCTGTTAGGGCTTTCAAGAACCCGAGTGGTTCCCAGGTACATTCTGGTTAGACTGGCACTGAGTCCCTACCAGGTGGCTTCAGCATCTGTCCTACAGACGGGAGAGTGGCTCCCTAGGACGCCTAGCTTATCTCAGGTAGAGGTGGTGACCCAGGCATGCCTGCTGATGGTATACAGGCAAGTGAGGAGGTTGGTGGGGTCACCCAGGATGGGAGGGGCGAAGGTGCAGAAGCCCACTGGTCCCTCCCTGGGCACATGGCTGGTCTCTGGTGGGAACTGATGGGACTCACCTAACTGGGGCACCTGGTCCCCAGCCCCAGCACTGGCCCACTCCCAGGAGCACGGGAACACAGGAGGAATCACAAGTTTATTGCTCTGGGTTAAACCAGTGGATAAAAGACCGGAGAAGGGGGACGTAGGAAGTTGGTGAACATTTCCTTTCCTTCTGCAGCCCCTGGCACCCTGGGAAGCTGACCAGTCCACTCCAGGTCTGCTGATCACCTGCTCACGGGCTAGACCCCAAATGAAACTTGAGGTACATATGACCCAAGGCTCCGGGGAACCCAGCTCCTCCTTGCGGTGCCACCTGTGGGGTCACCTGCATAGGGCTGAGCATGGAGGCTGTGTCAACGGCCTCCAATGGGCTGGTGTCCTTAGGAAGGTGTCTTGGTGGAGGAGGAAGAGGCTGCCTCCTTCTTGGCAGGGGCCTTCACCAGTGCCAGCCTCTTGGGCAGGCTGCTGTAGGCTTTCATTACCACGTCGTGTTCAATCTTCTTCCGGATCCCAACCTCCAGGTCCTGAGGGGGGGAACCACAGGGCACTGAGACTGGGACCTGAGGTGGAGGGAGGGGAGCGCCTAACCCGCCATGCTCTCTGCTGAGAATGCACAGGGGGCTGGATGAGCAACTCCCCACAAAACAGTATCCGAGGGTCTGGGGTTTAAGTCCTGCTTCTGCCCTGCACTCTTTGGGGGCGTTACACAGAAAAAATCCTGTTCTTGTCTCTGGACCTCAGCTTCTAAACCTCCGCTCAGCCCCATTTTACAGATGGAGAAACAGGTTCCTGTAGTGAGGAGGCACTTGCCCAGGCCTCCCAAACAGGTGAGGGATGGGAGATTGGAACATGCCCAGAGCCTTCGGTCTCAGCTTCCAGGCAGCAGTCCCTGCCGGCCCATGTCATCTCTGCCTGGCAGATGGCAGACTGGGGCTCTGAGACACAAACATGTGAACAAGCAAAGGCACAGAGGTTTGGGTCCAAAAGTGGTAGTTTGATTATATCTCCCAAATCTCCCTGTCCTGCCTATGAGTTCCCACAACTATGACCACCATGATTGTCACATAATTGTGGGTGCAGGACAAACCACAGCAAACAAATAAGACAGAAAAATCTCTCCCCTCTGGAAACTGGCACTCAGCGTGTGTGAGACGACATAAATGTCCATGATTCGCTAGGGTAAAGTGAAGGTAAGCGCTGCCAGCCAAGAAAGAACACAGGATAACGAGTGAGGGGTGCGTGTTACGGGGGACAGCTGCTCAGAAGCACTGCCTGCAGTCAGACTAGACTGAGAAAGGGAGCCGTGTGGATTTCTGGGAGAAGAATCCGGGCAGAGGAAACAGCTGGTGCCAAAGTGCTGAGGTGGGATAAGAACTGTTAAGGGACCAGTGAGCAAGGGAAGAGTGGGAGGAGGGCAGGGAGGTGACAAGGGCAAATCATGCAGGGCCTTGTGGGCCATGGAGAGGATTTGGGCTTTTCTTGAGGTGGGAGACATTGAAGGCTCTGAGAAGAGGACCAGGGGGCACCTGGGTGGCTTAGTTGGTTGAGAAGAGGACCAGACTTGGGTGCTCACTGGCGCCCTCTGGCAGCTGTGGGAGGAGGCAGGGGCTCAGGGAGGATGTCACCGGTAGTAGTTGATGGGGTGGGACCAGGTAGGCGGTAAATGGGTGGATTCTAGATTAATAACAAACACAAAAAAGGATGAGATTATACACAGAGATCAGAGAAAGAGAGAATCATGGATGATCTCGAAGGACAGAATCTTCCTGAATCAAGACTGTGGCAGGGTCATGTCGGGGAAGGAGAGGGATCCGAGCTTCGTTTTGAAGATGCTGAGTTTGAGATGCCTGGGAGACAGCCCGCCTCTCGCAGCCAAATGGAGGTAAGCAGATCACTGGGTACCCAGGTCTCAGAAAACCGAGGCTCTGGGAGAAACTTAAGAATTTGCTCAAGATTACATATTAGGTAGTGTGGAGTACAATTTGAACTCAAATCTGACTCCAGTAAAACCAGTTTCAAATCTCCTTAAACTTCTTTATAAACTCAACCCTACCCACCTATATAAAGAAGCTGCATGTAAACACAACCACAAAAATGTCAACCAACGCAGGTAATGTTCATTTGTGTCCTGTGCTGTTCTCGGCGCTTTACAAGTGCCCCGTGGCATTAAATTCTTACAACTGTGGGAGAAAGGTGTTATTACTATGACCATTTTACAGGTTAAGAGACTCAGGGTGAAGAAATACTAGCCATTGGGGCGCCTGGGTGGCTCAGTCATTGGGCATCTGCCTTCTGCTCGGGTCATGATCCCGGGGTCCTGGGATCCAGCCCCACATCGGGCTCCCTGCTCAGCGGGAGGCCTGCTTCTCTCTCTCTCTCCCCCTGCTTGTGTTCTTCCCTCTTTCGCTGTCTGTCAAATAAATAAATAAAATCTTAAAAACAAAAATAAACACTAGCTGTTAATAGGGCTTCCAACACACGCAGCACTGCCTTTCTGCAAAGCTGGGGTTTCGACTTTGCCACGCCACCTCCCGTCCGGACTTCTTTTAAACAACGGTAACAGCGACAGCAGCTAACGTGTGTTTAGACTTTCTGCGGTCCTTGCTCCTCTGAGGCCCGCTGAATGTGAATGTGATGTTCCTATACCCATGACACAGGGGTCAAAACTGAGACTCGGAGACCTGAGTTCTCCAGACTCCTCCACCGGGTGCAGGTACCCCCCTCCAGGCTCCTTCCCTGGCCGCTCGCGCACCCCCACTCACCTTCTTGAGCTTTTGCTGCTGCACGATGCGCGCCTTCTTCGGGGCGATCACACGACCTGAGAAGAGACGCAGTCGCGTAAGGCTGGGGAGCCCTAGGCCCTCCTCGCCCCCCAGACCCCTGACAGCTCCTCACCACCCTTCCTCGGTCCCCGGCTGCGCTCGGAGGCAGCTGCCGCTGCTTTGCTCTTCGCCGGCTTCCGTGCCTGGAACTTGCGCTGTCCCTGCGCCATGATATAGGATGCACCGGAAAAGGCGGGCTGTACGCAAGCGCAGCCGGAAGGCGCAGGGCACGATGGGATACAGTGGGGACGTGGGGCGAAAAGGCTCACGGGACGCAACGTGGCAAAGCATTAAAGGGATAAACGCCCACAAAAGCCTATAACGCAAACCTTCGCAAAAACTTCCAAGTCAAGGTTATAATATTAAGATAACATTTATGAAGAGCTCGTTTGTTTTGTAAAGCATAGTTTTATGCCCTTCGTACACAAAATTTAGTCTAGACTAGGGTGAGGCGACTGAGGCAGTCACTGGTGCATACTTTAAGGGTGCCTAAAATTCAGTAATTGATATAGTATTCTCAACATTTAAAAATAAAATTTTAGGGGACGTCTGGGTGGCTCAGTCAGTTAAGCCGCTGCCTTCGACTCAGGTCATGATCCCAGGGTCCTGGAATCGAGTCTCACATCCGGCTCCTTGCTTGGCGGGGAGACTACATCTCTGCCTCTGCCTGCCACTCTGCCTGCTTGTGCGCTCTCTCTCTCTCTCTCACAAATAAAGAAATAAAATAAAATCTTAAAAAAAAAAAAAAAGAAAGAAAGAAAAAAAATTTTAGGAGCGCCTGGGTGGCTCAGGTCATGATCAGGATGGCGCCCCATGTCTGGCTCCCTACTCAGCGGGGCATCTGCCTCTCCCTCTCCCACTCTGCCTGTGTTCCCTCTCTGTGTATCTCTGTCAAATAAATTTTAAAAATCTTTAAAAAAATAAAATCTTTGGGGCACCCGGGTGGCTCAGTGGGTTAAAGCCTCTGCCTTCAGCTCAGGTCATGATCCCAGGGTCCTGGGATGGAGCCCCGCATCAGGCTCTCTGCTCAGCAAGAAGCCTGCTTCCCGCTCTCTCTGCCTGCCTCTCTGCTTACTTATGATCTCTGTTTGTCAAATAAATAAATAAAATCTTAAAAAAAATAGATAAAAATAAAAAAAAAATTTTTTTAAAATCTTTAAGAAAAATACAATTTTGGGGCGCCTGGGTGGCTCAGTGGGTTAAAGCCTCTGCCTTTGGCTCAAGTCATGATCTCAGGGTCCTGGGATCGAGCCCCGCATCGGGCTCTCTGCTTAGCAAGGAGCCTGCTTCCTCTCGCTCTCTGCCTATTTGTGATCTCTGTCAAATAAATAAATAAAATCTTAAAAAGAAAAAAAAAATACAATTTTAGGGGTGCCTGGCTGCCTCAGTGGAGCACGTGACTCTTGATCTTGGGGTTCGAGCCACAATTTTGGGTGTAGAGATTACTTAAAAAAATTAACATTAAAAAAATAGAATCGGAGGTACCTGAGTGGCTAGTTGGTTAAGCATACAACTCTCGATTTCAGCTCAGGTCATGATCTCAGGGTCTGAGATCTAGACCCCCATGCTGACCATGGATTCTGCTTCCCTCCCTCTCTCTCTGTCCCCACCCCCACTTGTGCTTTCACTCTTCTTCTCTAGAAAAAATAAAATAAAAAATATTTCACGAAGCTATTACTTATCTTGATTACTGGGCTTTTTAGTGTCCCTTTAAAATTCCGTACCCCACACACTGCCCTAGTTCTGGCCCTGAAGCAACCTAAGAGGGCAGCGCAGTACTGTCCCCATTTTATAAATGCGAATACCAAGGCACGGAGAGGTGAAGTGACCTGGCCATGATCACACTGTAGAGAAAGCGGCTGAGGCGGGTTTTGAACTTGGGCAGGCTGGATCCAGTTACAGTGCTCTTAAGAGTCATGCAAAGGGGGATGCCTGGGTGGCTCAGTTGGTTAAGCAGCTGCCTTCGGCTCAGGTCATGATCCCAGCGTCCTGGGATCGAGTCCCACATCGGGCTCCTTGCTTGGCAGGGAGCCTGCTTCTCCCTCTGCCTCTGCCTGCCATTCTGTCTGCCTGTGCTCGCTCTCTCTCCTTCTCTCTCTCTGATAAATAAATAAAATCTTAAAAAAAAAAAAAAAAGAGTCATGCAAAGGCCCCGTGTGCTCTCCCTACTCTAGGAAGAAGGGTGGTGGGAAGAAGGTCAGTTTAGGGGCAAGCCATTCAATAAGTTTATTATAAAACCTAAGGGAATGGGGGCAGGATATGGAGAATGACGTTGATTGCTTCTGGGGTCCATCTAGGGTCCCTACCCTCAGGAGACGGTGGTACTTAGGGCCGCCTGGAGCTCCTCAGGAGCGAAGACCCCCAGCTCTGTGATGATGCCACCGGTGATGAGCTCATGGGGGGTGACATCGAAGGCAGGATTCCAAACCCCAATGCCTGTAGGAGAACGGGGAGGCAAGAAGGCAGGTATGTGGCTGTGTGAGAAGTTCTCAAGCTCTTGTCACCAGTCTCCTCCATGGTGGTTCAAGAGTTGGGGAATCCATGAGAATCTGGGATGGCTCACTCTCTAACCACATGAAGGTATTACATGGGGCTTTAGCCCCTACTATCCAGTTCAGACCCTGCTCCCCACCATTCCTGGGCTGTCACTGTCCAAGAAGGCTTGGAACGCTTAGAGACATCTATCCCACTTTTGCCGGCTCCAAGGGTCTTTGTAAGAAGCTCTAAGAACCCACCTCAGAGCCTTTGCACAAGCAGTCCCCTTTGCCTCCAGTAGGGACGTGACTCACGGTTTCATTTCCTTTAGGTCTTTGCTCAAATGCCCCTTCCCAGAGAGGACTTCTCCAATCACTGTCTAAATCTCCCCGCATGGACACTTCCCATGCCCGTCCTCACCTTGTTCATTTCTCCTGCGCTCATACCCACTTCTTACACGGCGGTTTTGTTATTTATCTTGTTTGTCTAACCCTAACCCTAACCCCCTCTGGATTGTCAGCTCTGCGAGTGCAGAGGCATTTCCATCTTTTTCACTCCCGTATCCCCAGCGCCCTAGCACAGCTCCGAGCATTGGCCAGGTACTCAAAAATATTTGCTGAGTGAGTACCAACCTTCTACACAAGAGGCTGCAAACTGGTGGCCTGTTTTCTCTGCTCACAGTGATTTTGGCCAGTGCTCATATGCCTCCAGGAAAGCAGGGGCACGAAAAACAAAATGAAGGAAAAAAGTTTATAGAATTAATATATCTGTTTTTAAAACGCTGTTAAGAAACTGGAGCACAAAACAACAGGATGTTAGGACTTCCCTCCGCTTAGTTGTATACTGTGATTTTTACCGTGGCTCCACACTTGGGAGTCGGGTGGCAGCCCCACGGTATTTTCAGTGCTTGAGGATCTTAACTGGTCCTTTTTATAAAAGTATTTTCGGTCATAACTGTTACTATCTAATGAGTGCTAAGCAAGGGTCAGGCACTGTCCTCCACGTCACATGGATGAACTCACTGACCGCCCCAGGCTTTGTGAGCTGGATGGTGGTAAGAGCTCATCTTACAGATGTGAACACTGAAGCCCTGGGGGATGACAGAAGTCAGGCATCTTGCGCATGGCAGGCGGGTGGCATGGGGAAGCTGAGAACATCAGTGTCTCTCCGAAGGCACTAGATGAGACAGTATTCTTACTTCTTCTTCAAGGGAGGAAGCCCAGATGGACAACTTGCCCTCAGTCTCTTAACTCATTAGTTTTACACTCTGACCTTGAATCTGACCTTCAAGATGTTTCTGTTCTAAGAAATGGCTGGAAGGAGAGCTTTATGCCCCAGAAGGCTGATTCTACCCTAGATCCACCAGACCCCGTGAAGGGGCCACAGTGCCTAAGGGGAGGTGCCCAGGTGCTGTGTGACCCCCCTATAAGGGGACAGCTTACCGGGGGCTGCAATCCTGACCCCGTTGACATCAGTCAGCTCCTGCCCCGGGCGCTCCTCAATGATGATCTCCCTGCCCGACTCCAGATGGAGGTCACACGAGGAGCTGGGGGCAGCCACGTAGAAGGGGATGCCGTGGTGCTTGGCAGCGATGGCCAGCTGGTAGGTGCCCACCTTGTTGGCCGTGTCACCGTTGGCAACCACCCGGTCGGCTCCCACGACGACAGCTAGGGAGCAAGAAGCTGGGAGTCATAACCTGGCCGAGGACACCTGGAGCCCTGCCCACTGGTGCCGCGCCTACTGACCTGACACGCCCCGGTGGGCCATGGCTGCTGCTGCCATGCTGTCGGCAATGAGGGTAGCGGGGATCTGCTCATACACCAGCTCGAAGGCAGTCAACCGGGCTCCCTGGTTGTAGGGCCGGGTCTCTGTGCAGAAGGCATGATCCAGACGGCCCAGGGTATGCAGTGAGCGGATCACACCTGTGGGGCCCGGCCCACCAGGACATCAGGATGAGACGGAGAGCAACACACGGGTGGGGTGGCTTGTTGTTTAGAAGCACAGCACAGGGGCACCTGGGATCAGGTTGTGATCTCAGGGTCGTGGGATCGAGCCCTGTGTTGATTCTCTCTCCCTCTGCCTCCCTGCTGTCTCTCTCTCAGAATAAATAAATAAAATATCTGCACGGTTCGCCAAAGGCTCACCAGGCACAGTCCCATCCCCAGGCGCCTGCAGTAGCTGTTCCCTCTGCCAAGTACGTGGGTGCTCAGAGAACATCTTGGTGAGGCCTTCCCTGATACCTCGCTCTCCCACAGCAAACCCCACACCTCTTACCCCTTCCCAGCTCTTTCTCTTTAGTACTTATCACCTCTGAACATAGTACACACATTTATTGACTGGTTGTGTTTGTTTCTCCTACTTTCCTATTCCTCGGGGCAGAGATTTTGTCTACTGTGTCCACTGGTGGGTCCCCGGTGCCCAGAACTGTGCCTGGCACACAGTAGGTGCTTACTAAGTGCTGAATGAATAGAGGAATGCATGTCTGCAGGAATGGTGGGGCACCCTGGTTCTTCATTGATATTTGTTGAGTGAATAAATCAGTGTCTTGCCATCAAGGCCTCAGTCCCCAGGCACAAAGGCAGGGCTATCCCAATCTTTCTTTTGGGGGGCCCCTCCCTTCTCAGCCCTTGCATCCTCCCATTCTCTAGGCACGCGGCTTGGGCTGGACTGATTGATCCTAGAAAGGCAAATGACCCCACCAAAGACCCTGAGATATGAGGAGCCTTTTCTGCACTGTCAGCATAAAGAGCCTTGGCTTTTCATTATCTGAATCCCAACAACCTTCCTGCTGACCTGTGGAGCCTAAGAATGATGCCGCCCTGGAGGGCAGAATTTAGGAACAGGGACAGATGGATCCTGATGCCACTATTTGACCCCTGGACCCAGCCATACCTGAAGCTAAGGCCCTAAGCACCTGTATACAAGAGTAAATTCACATCCTTTTGCAGGTAAAGTGGTTAGGGTTTCTTTCTCTAGCATCCAAAAAGGGCCCATCCCCACTCCCATGGACACCCACTCACCCAGAGCTGTGCCATAGCCAGCAGTGGCCAGTGCGCCAGTGTTACAGTGGGTCAGCACGGTCACCCTGCCACCCCCAGGAGCTGCCCGCTCCAGGAGATGGCGGGCTCCTAGGTCCCCGATGCTCCGATTATCCTTGAGGTCTTTCTCCAGCATGTCCTCGGCACAGCGGATCACTCTGGGGCCGACAAGGGGCTCTCAGCTCCAGCCACCAGGCCTTGGGACCCAGGTAAGCCCCTCCTCCCTGGCCAATGCTACTGTGCAGGAGCCCTCTTGCTTAAAGCCTCTCCAGGCTATGTCCAGGCTATGGGGCCTACACTCTTCTGCCATTGTCACCGTCACACCATTTGCCCACCACACAACACATTTATCTCATGTGTGTGGGACAGCACAGCAATGAACAGGATAAAAATCTCTGCCCCTGTGGAGCTCACAGTAGGGTGGGCAAGTCAGGCGGTGAACAGTTAATGAAGTGAAGGAGAAGGCAGGAGAATCAGGGGACAGAGCAGGGGCGGTGAGCTGTGTTACATGAGGGGTTGGGGAAGACAGAAATCAGAAACCTCATGGAGTTGGCTCTGTGGATAGCCAGCCTGCAGAGACAGCACGTGCAAAGACCCTGAGACAGGAGTAAGCTTGGTGGGGTCAAGGAACACAAAGGTAATCACTTAGCTTGAGCAGAGCAGAGTGGAAAAACAAAAGGGCAGGGAAGAGATCAGAACTGGAAACAAAATTCCTCAAAAGCAGAAACCAGGAGAATGAAATGGCTCTGAAAAGGACCTTTAAGACAGAAGGGGCTGGGCGTGTTCTGGTGAGGCAGAGTCAAGGGATTGAAAGCAAAGATCTTGGGACCCAGCCACCTGGGGTGGACTCTTGGTCCTGCTTGTGTGGCCCTGGACTGACGTGCCGTGCCTCAGTTTCCCTAATGTAAAACGGGTCGGTCTCGAAGAAATAAGTTAATAGCCTCTACGCAGAGCAGCGCCTGCCACAGGGTCCCCCTACCTCTCCCGGACCGCCTCCTCCGTGGCGCCCTCGCGTTCAGCTTCCAGGGCTGCGGTCTCGACCAGGTGGCGGGCAGCACGGGCCATGTTGACGGCGGTGGGCCGGGCGGTGACCAGGAAGCCCAGCGCGTCACGCACGAAAGCCACCAGCGCGGCGAGTCCCGGTCCCCCCGCGCCCGCCTGCAGCTCCACGGCGAGGCTGAGGCAGCCCACGAGCGCGATGGCCGGGGCGCCGCGCACCTGGAGGGGGGATCCTGGCGTCAAGCGGGGTCGCCACCTCCCACCCCGGCCCCGCAGCTCCGCCGCATGGCCCCACCTTCATGGCGCGGATGGCCTCCCAGGCCTGGCGCACCGAGCCCACTGCCTCGTAGCGGCTGTGCTGGGGCAGGAGCAGCTGGTTGAGGATCTCCAGCGAGCCCCGAGAGTAGCGAATCGCCTCCAGGGACATGGTATCACCCTCTCGCTCACGGTCGCTCAAGAATCGGTGAAGGCGACCAGCGCACGCGAGACGAGCTTGGAAGAAGAGGGGGCGGGGCGCCGGCCCCGCCCCCAAGGAGGCGCACGCGCACAGCAAATCCACAGGACCCTCCGTCCACGTGACTAATCCCTCCCTACTTTCCCGTAGTCTGGGGAGTTAGTCGCGTCCTGAAAAGCACAGGTGGCACCTTTTATGGGGCAACTCCTGGATTTTGGGCTCTGTGTTCAGCCAGCCAGAATCATAGCATGATCCCCCAAGTCACCCTTAGGCGCCTGACTTCGGCCAGAGCGAGTGCTGAAGGTGGTCTCAAGTATAGAAAGGCCCGAATTGGGGGATTCCAAGGACTAAGGGGTCTTACTGTTGCCCTGAAACCTCCCATCCCAGCAGGGAGCAAAGGCTGGTGGGCTGGGGACAGCCACTGGGGCCACCAACTCCCCTGAGGGACAAGGCCAATAAGAATCTGGCCAGAACCTCAGCCCTGAGAGGGCAGTGTGTCTGGTATCCCACTGTATCCCCAGGGCCTAGGTTAGTGGCCAGCACACTGTAAATAGCCTATCAATTTTTGTTAAATGATTTTCCTTTTCCACGGTTTGGGAGGAGGTGGCAGGCTGGGAGGATGGCCTGCTGTTTCTGAGCCGTTTTCTGCTCAGTTTACCAGATACCTTCAAAAGATGCATTATGGGGCACCCAGGTGGCTCAGTTGGTTAAGCGACTGCCTTCGGCTCAGGTCATGATCCCGGAGTCCTGGAATCGAGTCCCATATCGGGCTCCCAGCTCCATGGGGAGTCTGCTTCTCCCCCTGACCTTCCATCTCATGCTCTCTCAATTTCTCTCTCAAATAAACAAATAAAATCTTAAAAAAGAAAAAAAAAAAGATGCATCATGGTAGAGAAGTGGGGGAGGTCTTTCAGGACCTTCCAAGGCATCCCCACAGGCTGGGGATAACAGAAACCCCACACCTGCATACTCCAGGCCCAGCTGCTTCAGGCTCCGCCTGTGTTCCCAGCCCTGGCCTTCCCTGTGTGATTCCCACAGCCTGGTTCCCTTTCCACCCTTCACACAGCCTGTGCTGCCTCCTCTGGAAGTCTGCCTTGACTGTAGACCAGCTGGAGCCACCACCTTGAGTCATGCCAGGTGGGGGTCATGGCTGAGGCCACAGTTGTGGCGGCAGCATCACACTGGCTGGTGAGAGTCCCCAAAGTTCAGTTGGCTGGGGGTGGTGGACAGCCCCTGGGCCTGGCTAGGAACCTGAGGCAGGGACAAAGAAGCAGGTCTTTAATGTTGGGATGATGTCCCACAAGGCACAAACACCCTCTCCAGCACCAAATAAATAACTCCACCGCTGCAGGAAGGCAAGGTCTGGGGAGGGGCAGTATCGGAGCACTCCGGGGGCTGGTGGACAAGCAGGGCTGCAGTCCCACGGGCCTCCTGGGCGAGTCGTAGCCTCTGGAGCGGGTCTGGTCCCCAGAACCACTCACTCGCTCTCTGAATCGGAGTAATCAGCCACAAGAGAGGAGCTGAGGGTGCACAGGTGTAGCATGTCCTCCTGAGAGGAGCCTGGTGGGGACTGGGGCCTGTCCTGACATTTCCCCTCCTGCTCCCGAGGCCCCCTGCTCTTGGGGGTCTCGGCCGTCTCCGGAGAGCAGTCTCGGGGGGGTGTGGGCCCATCCTGGGTGTTCCCCTCTGGCACCCATGGCTCCCCAGACTTGGGGGTCTCCGTTGTGTGCTGGGGGCTCTCTGAGACCTCCCGGGACCGCCGCCGTACGATGCCCAGGTCCTCTACAGTGATGGGGGAGCAGGCCGGTGCTGATCTGCGGTTCTGGGCCAGCTTCTTCAGGACACTGCCAGCTTTGCTGCTGCTGGTGGCGGGTCCTGGGGTGGAAGGGAACCAGGAGCGGCTGATGATCTCTGTCCGCTTGAGTTTCTGCTTGTCCTCGTAGGCTGGGGGTTGGGAGGGAAGAGAGGGAAGGAGGTCCAAAGCTGCCCTCTGCCCTGGCCTGCCACGGCCCACTTGTGGCTGAGGACCCCCATCTCTGCCCGCCCAGTCCCCCAGGCCCGCTGGCTCCCCACGCACAGTCCAGGGTGTGGAACTTGAGCAGGGCGGCCAGCCTGCGGTCGTCCTCTGTCTCGGGCACCAGTGGAATGGCCAGGCTCGCCTTAGCCTGCAGCGCCTGGTCCCTCTCTTCCTCCTCCTGCATGGCTTTTTTCTTTTCCTGTGTGGTGGGGGACAGGGTGCGGGAAAGGTGTCAAAGACCTGCCTCTTCCTTGCCCGCTGACGTGGGCTGTGTTCCTCTACTCAGCTTCCTGCACTTCAAGCTCGTTTGAGGAAAGGGCCTCCCACAGGGCCCGGGACACAGAAGTCACCCAACAAGCGTGAGCTGCGAGCGTCATTAACACACGTACTGTTCAGTCCTCTGCTCATTCATTCCATGAAAATTTACAGAATGGCCAGCTTGTACCAGGCCTTGTTCTAGGCACTCTCTAGTGAGTGCAGCAGTGAGCAGACACAAACCGTTGACCTCAGGGTGCTGACATTCTAGTGGGTGACAGATACAAGGTGGCAAGGATAAAAAGAACACTGGGAAGGGGGTAGGGAGCGAGGGGTTCAACTGTAAATGTGGTGCAGGAGGGAGGGAAGGGTCAGGCAAGGTCTCCCCGAGAAGGTCACATGTGAGAAAAAACATGAATGAAGGAGTCATATGCATATCTGGGGGAAAAATGTTCCAAGGTAGGGGGAACAGCCTGTGCCAAGGCCCAGAAGCTGAAGTGTGCTTGGAAGAACAGTGAGGAGGCCAGTGTGGTTGGAACAAAGTGAGTGAGGGGAAGGTGGGATAGTGGGGAGGGGAAATGAGATCAATCAGGCTATGGGCTATGGGGAGGACTTTGGCTTCTATTTTAAGTGGGAACCTTGGAAAGTTCTAAGCAGAGAGAGGAGTATTCACAGGTGCCTCCTGGTGGCCATGTGGGGAACAAATACTGCTGTGTGTTGGTGGGGGTGGGGGTGGTGGTCAGGAGCCTAGAGACGGGGGCAGAGAGACTGTGCTGGTCCACGCGGGAGATGATGGGGCTGTGGGAGTGGTCAGACCCTGAAAAATTTGCCAACAGGAGACAGAGCTGAGGGGGAGTCAAGGTCGACTCTAGGTTTCAGGGCCTGAATCCCTAGAAGGACAGAGATGCCTCTATTGCTGAGAAAGGGAAGATGTGGGTGGGTGGCTCAGGGACAGATGGGGGCTTGTTAGGGTGTTATGTCTGAGGGTCCTTAGACACCTCATGGGGAGATGCCCCAAAGGCAGGGGACACATAGCTCAGGGCACAGGCCTGGCGGGAAGCACATGTTTTCAGTAACAAATAATTAGTAAGAAAACTAGCAGTTTTACTTCTAATAATGACCACAGAATGATAAGGAAAGAAAGCAGGAAGGAACAAGAGCTGGAGAATGGTGACAGCTGGAGCCCCATGGAGGTTATTGGGGGAGCTCCTGCCTGCCTGGGGGGCACAAGGCAGCCCATAGAGGGAGGGAAGAGGGAAGGTTCTCGCATCCTGCAGGATTCTCCAGTGCCCCTCCGGATGCCCGAGAGGGTGAAAAATCCATTCATGGTGCCCTCGGACCCTGGGCCCGACTCCCTGTGATGGGACTCCAGCCAGTATCTTTCGTACAACTTCGGAAGTTACTGTGGTCACTGACAACAGGGCCCTGGGGTGTCCTGGAGGCAGGACTATGTCCTGGTCGTTTGCCCCTGCACCCTCAGCGACTCGCCATGTCAGGACAGGGGTCTTGGCCAAGCATTTGTGTACTGAAATATGCACGATTACATTTCATTGTAGGTGACTTTCTCTTAAAAAAAATTTTTTTTTAACCACCAGACACTGAAGAGAGGACTCTGATAATTATGCAGGGGTGGGTTGACGATCTACGGACTTTGTGTGGGGATAGCTGAGTGGACCCATGAAATATGTGTTATGAGCTGAGCTGTAGGTGTGCGCCTGGTAAGCCAGGGCTCTTCATGGGTGCCGGGAGGTGGGGGTGTGGTCAGATGGGGAAACTGAGGCTCAGAGGGCTAAATGACCCACCTATAGCTAAGATGTAGTGGGGCGAAGGCCGCCCCTGCGTTCTCTCCCTTCCAGCATCAGTGCCCCCCACCCGCCCCTCAGGGTCCCCCCGCCCCTGCTCACTCGGAATCTCTTCCGCAGCATGCTGTTGAGTGCGAAGTCATCCTTCCAGGCGCTCTGGGCCTCCTGGATGTGGCTCAGGGTGGGGAGGGCTTTCTTGAGTGTGCTCCGGTCTGCCTCGCCGTGCTCCAGGCGGAACATGGCATCTGTCTCCAGCTTCTGCTTCTTCTCGTGCTCTGCAGCGACCAGAAAGCAGCAGGGCCTTGAGGGTCCTGCTCAGGCTCTGGGCTGGCCTTGGGGCCCGCCCCCCGCGCTCACCTGTCGTCAGCACCTGCTCATTGTCCGCCATGTCCCAGCGCTCCTCCTTGCGCTGGGCGCCGCTCACAATCACGTAGTCGCAGTTGGCGGGGTCTGTCTGCATCTCGATGTAGTTGACGCAGAGGTGGCATTTCATCCGGAACCTGGTGGGCAGAGGGCGGAAGTCAGGACACTGCAGTGGCCCCAGGTCACCCGTCACCCCTGCCTGCTTTCTTCTGTCATGTGTCACGTGACAAGTGTTCACTGAGCACCTACCCACCAAGCTCTGCATCTGGGGTTAGAGCTGCGGGTCAGACAGACTGACGGGCTGTCTGGCGTCTGCTCACTTTTCACTCATGTATCCAACACACCCTCCCGAGTTAGGCTGCTCTGTGGCATGCTGAGTGGCAGCTGCTGGGGACACAGCAGTGAGGGACGCTAGCCTGCTCTTGGAGGGACTGACCTTCCAGCAGAGGCCACATAGGCAGCAAATGCATGAGCAACCACTGTCCGGTGGTGAGCGCTGCTCTGGAAAAGGCCTGAGAGGCAGTGTTGGGGCAGAAACCCAAGAGGAGGGAGCCTTGTAGATGACTGGGGAAGAGCATTCCAGGCTGAAGGCATCCAGGTGGGGGCCTTCCTGGGGTGTGTGAGGGACCTCAAGGGGGAGAGTGGGACGAGATGAGGGTAGGGAGGGGATCGGGCAGAGCGCGCAAGGCCTTGTGGGCCATGGGGAGGGCTCAGGCTTTTACTCTGAGGAGGTGGGAACCATGGAGAGTTCTAGGCAGAGGGATATGCCCTGACTGACAGACCGGGACAGTGTCCAGGAAACGACTGCAGGGAATGGCCATCACGGAATGGCCACCCTCTGACTCAGATTCCTCTGGAGCCCCCTCGCCCTGCAGCTATCTGATGCGTCCCTCGGAGACGCCCGCCGGGCTGCCTGTACCTGTAGATCGGGGTTGTGTAGTAATTGCCAACCTTCTTCTTTTCGGCATTGTAGCGAACCCCTGGGAGGAGAGGGAGAGAATGAAGGCTCAGCATCTTTTCCCTGGGTGGGGGGGCAGAAAGGGGTGGAACTCCTCCAGACACAGCTCTGGAGGACCTTAAAATTCAAGGTGGGAAAGAGCCATGTCCAGGCTCCACGACAGGTGCTGAAGCCACAGAGGAGGGTGGGTGGTAGCAGGAGGGCCCGGGTTCAAATCCCAACTCCACCGCATTCCAGCCAGGCAACCTTAGGCCGGCTACTTTGGCCCTCTGGGCCTCAGTTTCCCCATCTGTTCAACAAGGAAGACTATAACGCCCACGGCGCAGTGATGTTATGGGAACCCCAGGAGCTAACAGTACACACGGATCACTTAGCACAGGGCCTGGGACGTGGCAAGTGCTCAAGAAGTGTTGGCTTTTATTATTAATGTCTGTGTTTTTTTGTTTTTTCCCTAATTAGATGACATATACTCCTGATCTTGCTCATGCGGTGAAAACAGCTTCAACTACAAAAACAGAGCTTAGGCTGGTGGGTGGTGTGGCCTGAGTTCTCCCTTCCTGGCGGTGGCTTCGGTTGACGGCCCTGAGGGTGACCTGCCTCTGGCATCAGGCTACATCCTGTTTCTGTCCCCTGAGCACTGGTGGCCTTCACTGTAGATGCCCCTGGGCTGGGTCTGATCGGGGGACCTACTGGCAAGAGGGGGGTGTCACACATCCTCCTCAGCAGTGGGGTGGCCCAGCCCCTCCTTCTTCTCTTCCGTGGCCCCTGGGAGAGGGGCTGGACCCTCGTGCCGAGAGCCACCACCACGCTTGCTTACAAAGCAAGCTGCTGCCCTGGGCCAGGCACTATGTGAGAAGCTGAGGGTCCCTGTGTCACAGAGCTGGGAACGGAAGCCAGGCGGGTCAAGTTACCGCCCCGTGGTCTCAGAGCCGCCTCTGGGACCACGGAGCCATGCCTGTCTGTCTGCCTGTCCATCTGTGGCATGGACAGGGTCCAGACCTTAAAGGTAAGAGCTGGGGCAGTGGCAGTGTGAGTTCATGAGGCCTCGCGTGTGCTGTGTGCTATATACTTTGTATGCCACATACATGGGGCGCGCACACCACCTGAATTTATGGCTGGGTAAACTGAGGCCCACAGAGACTAAGTCACCTGCTGAGGGTCCCCCAGCTAGGAAGTGGGAGAGCCGGGCCTCCTCACTGCTCTGCAGCGAGGCGCCCACAACCCGCTGGTCACTGGGATGCCTCTCTCCTCTCATATTCCTGATCGGGGCCCCCGGTGTGGACGGGCCAGGCAGGGAAGGGGCTCGCCGCCTGCAGGGCGGGACGTTTGGGGGTGGGGTGAGGAGTGGGAGCAGGCGGGGCTCACCCATGCCGATGTGGTTCTTGCAGCCGTCACACCAGATGTTAAAGGGCATCTCAAACCTATGCGAGTAGAAAACGGCTCATCAGCACCTGTCCGCTTGGGCCCTGCCTGAGTGTGTGTGCCCGTGCCTCCTGCTGCAGCCACGAGGCAGAGGGCACATGCATGAGGAGGACAGAGAGTGGAGGGCACCCCTCGAGGCAGGCCGGTCCCATCATTCTGCTCTCCCGCTGGCTCAGCCCGTCCGGGTGAGTCCCCGCCGCTGCGGCCCTATCTTCACGCCTTGCCCCGTGAGTGACCCCAACTGGAGGGGGGCGGTGGCCCAACCAGAGTTGAGCAGAGTTGCTGTATGGTCCCTGGATTTTTCTGTGGTCTGTCTGCAACACATGATCTGGCCATCCATGTGCAGGAGTGACAGAACTCGTGCTTCAAAATACCACGAAGTGATGAATGACGAGGCGAAGTCAAGAAGCCTGAGGCGGCCGAGCGGGGCGGGCTCTGGGGCTGGAGGTGTGGGGAGGGGTGTTTCGAGGTCACCTTCATCTTGGTGCCTCCCCAGGCCATGATGGCACTTGGATCTTGATTCTTTTTCTGTTGACATTCCTGCCTCTCATGACTGTCGCTGGATCCTCTGCTCAGGCCCAAGGTGCACCACAGAGACTGAGGTCAGTGTCCATGACGCAGAGAAGGGCTCATCCTTCTAAGGCAACACAGGCTGGCTTCTGTTTCCTGTCGCCGCTGACCCACCGGGGCGTGGGCCACAGACCAAAGGAGAGCCCCGAGAGAAGGGCCACTGTCCTGGCTCGATGCGGCCATGGCTGGGATTATTTATCCTCCCCCTACCCGTACCCTTTGCGATGTGACTCTACAATGCTTCCTGTTAAGAGGTGGGATGAACGGTCCCCACCCCCATAACATGACTGGCTTCGGGCAATCGATGAGACAGAAGGGACAGTGTGCCCGCTCTGGGGCTTGGCCTCAAGAGTCCTTATATACCTGCGCTCGCTCCCTTCTGGAACCTGGGCGCTGCCATGTGAACCAGCCCAGGCCATCCAACTGGAAGAGGAGACACATGTGGGGCAGAGCCTAGTCGTGCTGGCCCAGCCAGTCCGCAGGCAGGTGACCCCCGAACAGGTGAGAGAGCCCAGCCCGCGTCAGCCAAGGCCAGGGAAGGCCAGCAGAGGCAGCCAGCTGAGCTGCAGAACCGCGAGCAACATATGATACCTGCTTATCATTTGATGATGTGGCAACAGCGGACTGACAGGCCGACTTCCTGCTTCCTGGAATTGAGACCCCGTGACACGGGGCAAAATCAAAAGCACCGAATTCTCCTAGAGCCTGATGCCGGGTGGTACAAAGAGCAGGGGTCCCCAGGTGGGGCCGGGGCCTTACCTGATGATGAGGATGCCTTGTGACAGCTTCCGAGCCCGCTCCCGCAGCGGGTGGCTGTTGTGGTATCGGTTGAGGGAGCCATGCTGCGCGGAGAGGACAAGGGGGCGGGTTAGCACAGCCACGCAGGCTCTCCCAGGCCGAGAGAGGCTGCCTGCTCATGTCCTGCGGCGGATGCGAAGGGCAAACCATGGGGGCACTGAAGGCTTGGGGAAGCGAGCAGGGCTGGATCAGGAATACAGGAGACTGAATCTTTGCTCTTCCGTTTAGGAGATGAAAGACCTGTGTAACCCCGGGGAGTGACGTTGCCTTTTGCCTGCCGACGTTGCCTTTTGCCTGCCAACCTGTTTCCCCCAACTGTCGACCGGGGCGGTGACTGTACTGGCCTCTGGTGCTGCAGAGTCAGTGAGGTGAGGGGACAGCACTGGTCAGCGCTTACTGGCCACTCCACATGCCTCATCTTGGGTTTTTCGTTGGTTTATTTGTTTTTAAAAAGGTTACTTTAAGATTTTATTTTTAAGTCATCTCTACGCCCAATATGGGGCTCAAACTCACAACTCCGAGATCAAGAGTCACAGCTCTACCAACCGAGCCAGGGATCCCATGACATTGGGCTATTTTTCTATTTCCTCCTTTGACATATGGGGAAACTGGCACAGTGAGGCCAGTTATGTGCCCTGGATCACGTAGCTGGGACAATTCGTTCCCGGGCCCTTACAGAGTGCCTACAATGTGGGACCACAGCTGTGAACGAGACAGATAAACACCTCTGCCCTCAGGCAGACGTTCTAGAAGGGGGAGACGGACAATATCCAAATGAATGGATAGTGCATCAGGGAGCTATAAGGGCCACAAAGAGAAATAAAGTACTAGGTGATGCACAGAAAAGGAGATGGTGGTCAGGGAGGCCCTCTGTGGGGAGAGACCTGAAGGAAGGGAGGGAGCCTGTGGACAGAAGAGATTCCAAGCAGTGGGAACAGCTGAGGGAACAAAGAGGAAGCCAGAGGAGCTGGAGCTGGGAGAGCAAGGGGATCTGACAAAGAGCATCAGACCTCCCGACCTTCGCTGGAAATACACCAAGCTGGGTGGGTCCAGCATAAAAGGTCACTGACGTCACAGCCACATTTACCACTGGGAACGAAGGCTGCCCTGAGCCCGGGTGACACGTGCACAGCAGCGAGTCCTCAGAGGCCACCCACACTCTGCAGCCGTGGCTCTGACTCCAGGAGCGGATGACGGGCCATGCGCCCCCTGCTCTATGGAGTCTCTTTGCTGTGTGGACAAGGGGAAGGGAACCCGCCCTTACCTTTTCAGGATTGAAATCCGGAGGGTAGTACTTGTTTACACCTTTCCTTTCACCCTGGGAAGCAGAAGAGAGACGGGACTCAGAGAGGGTGATCTGGAGAAGACCTTGTCGCACAGCCTCAAGAGGCGGGGTCCGGATGAGGGAGACCGAGGGACATCCTAGAGAAGCCCTGGGCTCTGAGGGTCTCCACAGAGACTGTGACTTGGGGACTAGCGAACCACCACTGTCACCGTGGAAAATTCCACAAGAACCAGACTCTCCTAAAGCAAGGGTGCTCAGTGTTTTGGGGACCATGACTGACAGCCAGACGCATTTAACACTGCCACTGTGCACAAGCACATAACCCAGTGAAGCCCAGGGCAGGTTTTGTGAAAGAACGCTTACCCCCGCTGCGAGGGTCTTGCTTTCTCAATGCTGGCAGCCGCCCCATAAACTGAGCTCGTCACCCACCAAAGGAGTAGGTCTCAAACTGGGCTGAACATTATATCCCCCTGAGGAGTTTCTAAAATACTGATGCCTGGCCCCCAGCCCCAAAAGTTCTCCTGACAGGGGCTGCTTTGAGGTGTGACGCTCGGACAGGGGGCTTTTAAAAAAGCATCCTGCAAAACAGGTGTTTGGACAAATCCTTGTGCACACATGCTCACGGCAGCACTAATCACAACAGCCAAATGGTGGAAACAAGTCAAACGTTCATCGGTGGATGAACGGATACACAGAATACGGCTGTTCCAGATGGGGGAACATTACTCAGCGGTAACACGGAATGAAGTTCTGATTCTTGCTACGATGTGGAAGAACTCAAAAACACTATGTTCAGTGAAAGAAGCCACACGTGAAAGGCCACATATTATATGATTCCACTTACATGGACTGTCCCAAACAGACGAGTCCATGTAGACAGGAAGTGGGTTGGTGGCTGCCAGGGGCTGGGGAAGGGGATCTGGGGAGTGACTGCTCATGAGGACAGGATTTCCTTTTTGGGGGACATGGAAATGCTCTGGAACTAGGTAATCAAATACTAAATGCCACTAAATCGTACACTCTACAATAGCTCATGAATTTCACCTCCTTAAAAACCAAAAACCAAAAAACAAAAGAAAAGAAAAGACAAAAAAGCTTCCTGGATGATTTTAGTGCATGGCAAAGTTTGAGAACCACTGTACCAAAAAGATCACGATCTGGAGTTTGGAAATACCACCTTATAGCTTGGGGAGGGGGAGGGAAAGGGCTACTTTGGGGGCCTGACAAAGACCAGAAGTGAAACTCAACAAGCACAAGGCTGTCCACTCACCATCTTGGCAACTGCCTACCGGTCCTCACCCTCAGCACGGCTGATCTGAAAACACAACGGGACACGGATTGTGCAGGGTCAGCCCCCTGCCCAGCGCTGCCCTCCCAGGGAGCCTGGTGGAGGGGCCAAGTCTTCCTGCCGAAGATGCCGTGGGCTGTGTGTGGCAGCAGCGGCTTAGACGGTCCTCCAGAGAGCGGTGTTTGTCTGTTTAGAAAGACAGTGTCCTCTTCACTCTCCATCCAACATAGATTTCACACCTGACACCTTCTGCAGCCCCCATCGTGGCTTACCCGAACCGCAGCTGCTTCCTCTCTGGTCTCCTGGCTCTGCCCTTGACTGCCACAGTCTGTTTTGCCCACAGGGACCAGAAAGAGATCTTAAAATCTAAATCTGAAATATTGTTCTTCTGCTTAAACCCCTCCAGTGATCACCATCGGTTTGAGAATCAAGTCCAAACCCTTCCCATACCCTTTGGAGCCCCTGCCTTGGCTCTCCAAGCGTGCCTCTTACCCCTCTCCCTCCCTCTGTTGCAGTTGCACTGGCTCCCTGGCTGCCTTCGAAGGCTCAGCAGGTGCAGGCCAAGGGGCTTGAATGCTCTTCCACAGGCTGTCTGTTCTCTGTCACAGATCTCAGCTCAAATATCATCTCTGGCGGAGGCCTCATCTGACTACCTGATCTAAAGCCACTTCTCCCCTGGGGTTCCTATCACATGGCCCTGTCTATGCAGTCTGTCTCCTCTGCCAGGTTGCACTGTGTGTATCTCCAGCACCTGGGACAGTGCCTAGCCCCTGCTAAATGCTGACAGCGTGAACCACTCACGGTTGAAGTTTCCTAAGTATTAATGCAGGTGACACATGACAGATGGAAGGTTCCTTGCGCTGGGGGTGGGTGACCACCCTCCTCCTGTATATTTGCAGGAGAGACTTTTAGGTAAAATAAAACAAAGTTCTACTTGACACCAAAGAGAGATGCTACGAGGGACTGAAGCGTATTCTAGAATGCAGATTGGCAAATTTTCTCTATCGAGGACCAGACAGTAAATATTTCTGGCTCTGCGGACCAACTGCCTCTGTCCCAATGACTCAACTCTGCCGTCATAGCTGGAAAGCGGCTGTAGACAATATGTAAATGGGTGTTGGCTGCATTTCATCAAAACTCTATTTATGAACACCGAATTTTGAATTTCACATGGTTGTCACCTGTCACAAAATATACTTCCTTTTGATTTTTCCCAACTACTTATGAAGTCAAAACCATGCTTAGCTGTCAGGCTGTACAAAATCAGGCCGTGGCCTGGTTTTGGCCTGTGGGTGTAGTTATTTGGCTCCCTGTGCTAGAGTCAGGAAGTATCTAATTGTTTCTGCCACTTAGCTGTGCACCCTCTACCAGTTACTGCATGCCAGGCGCTCTATCCAGTCTGACATCACTGCCTTGTTTCATCTGTATTAGGTCACTATTATCTGCAGTTGACGAACGAGGACATGGGGGCTTAAGTAACTTGCCCAGGCTCAGAGGCGAAGCTGGGGTGCAAAGTTCCAGATGTAAACTATTCCACCATGACCCTGAACATCTCTTTACCACAGATCCTCCATCTGTGAAGTGCGTCCCTGGACCAGATTTTCCCAAGGTCATTTCCAACCTAAAAATGCTTTTGTCAACCAAACAGAAAAGTGCCCACTCAGGCTTTGGGGCACAGTTCCCTGGGCCTGCATCCCAGCTCCACTCCTTCCTAACTGGTGACTTCAGCCAGTGTCTGAGGGTCTCTGAACTTATACTTCCTCATCTGTAAAGAGTCTATGATGGTGACAGGACTTTCTGAGGTTCGACGAAGTAAGACACTGGGAAGTGTTTGCAGGGTACCCCATTTTTAGGAGCTGGGGCTCTTACAGGGGTTTTTACCACCCCAGTGACTGGCACAGGTGGGGCTACAGGATGAATGTATAGAAATTTCTAGTCCTTGGTGTCAGTAGTAATCATAACCCCTCTGGCTTAGGGCACAGTGCTTGGGCTTGGATCCGGACTCTGCTTGCTAGCATTTTGACTTTTGTTAAAGCATTCCTCTCTGAGCCTCAGTTCTCTCATCTATACAGAGGGCTTACAAAAGAGTCAACCTGATAAGGTTGCTGTCAAAACTCAGTGAGTTGAAGTACTTAGTCCAGCGTCAGATGCGGAGTTAAATGTTGGTACATTCGACTATTTCTCATGCCAAACCGTTCTACAAGCATCAAAATCTTCACCATAACCCAGTAAGATAGGGGCTCACTGGCCCCGTTTTTCAGATAAGAAAACCTAAGGGCCCTTCAGGCATAATACGGCCCGGGGCTGGGACTGAGGTCGCGGCCGGGGCCCGGGGATTTCAATAGGGGGTCGCGGCTGGGACATGGCCCGCGGACATGGGGCTCCGGAGATGGGCCCACAACCGCAGAGCCCCACGGCCCCCAGGGCGCTCGTCCCCCATCGGACGGCTCCGAGGTCGCGGGAAGCAACGACCAGACCCCGGACCTTCGCCGGGACCGACCGCCCCTCCGCCCGCGCGTACTTACCTGCCCTCCTCCTGACGTCACGCCGTGCCAGCGCCCGGAAGTGAGTGCCGGGTGCGCAAGGGGGCGTGGCGCACTCCCCGCGTAACGCGGACGCTGGCGCAAGGCGGGGCTAAGCCTCACCGCCGCTCTGATTTGACTGGCTGAATGCCAAAAGAAGTGGACCAATCCGGGATTTCCCTTTCCAACTGTGGGGCGTCACGATGCTTCTCAGGCCCCGCCCACTCTGCCTGGCCCAATGCGAGCCTCGGTTTCCCGGGAGCGCAGTCGGGGTAGGCGAGCGGTAGCTCGACGTTGGGTCGCTTGCGGCCCTCGGGCCAAATCATATCTGCTCTCTGCTCTTGGACGGCTAGAGATCCAAGAATTATTTTTCCATTTTATATTTGAGAGAGAGGGAACACAAGTTGGGGGAAGGGAGAAGGACAAGCAGACTCTGCGCTGTACACAGAGCCCAAAGCGGTGCTCGATCTCACCACCCTGAGATGGGTACCTAAGCTGAAATAAATAGTCCCCCACGCTTAACTGACTGAGCCACCCAGATGCCCTTATTTTTCCATTTTTAAATGGTTGTGGAAAAAAAAAAATCAAAAGAATTACCTTTTGTGATTTGTGAAAATACTACGAAGTTCACATTTTAGTGCCCATAAATAAAATACTACTGGAAGACAGCCCTGCCCATTCATTTATCCAGTTGTCGCCTGCTTTCCCATTACAAGAGCAGAGTTGAATAGTTGCAATAGAGAGCGTGTGACCCACAAAGCCTCAAAAATTTGCTCTCTGGCGCTTTGCAGAGGAAGTGGGTCGGTCCTTGCCTTTGAGTCTTCAGACCATCCTGGAGGCACCTTCTGCACAGAGGAGTGGCTTTTGAGTTTACTTTCATGCCCAGTAGGGCCCAACAGAATGTTTCTTCATTTGGTCATTCAGCAGCCGTTTACTAGGTGCCTAGTGTATGAGATTCAGAGAGCCAATGACACATTCTTTCCTCTGATGAGGCAGACACTTTATTATTTTTTTTTAATTTTATTTATTTGACAGAAAGAGATCACAAGTAGATGGAGAGGCAGTCAGAGAGAGAGAGAGGGAAGCAGGATCTCCGCGGAGCAGAGAACCCGATGCGGGACTCGATCCCAGGACCCTGGGATCATGACCTGAGCCGAAGGCAGCGGCTCAACCCACTGAGCCACCCAGGTGCCCCGAGGCAGACACTTTAAATGGCAATTTATCAAGGCAGTGTGAGAAATGCTGACAACACTACTACCACTGCTACTATATTGTTCGCTGCTAGGCCCTGTTGTAAAGCCCACACAAGCCAGCTCTTATGTGATTATGGTGCAGCCTATTAAGTGCTCATAACGCTCCAGGCATCTTTCATCACACTCACCACTCACTTACAGCTATCATCTCGGTAATGCTGCTCCTAGAAAATGGATACTCTATCTTTCATATTTTACAGATGAGGGGACAGGCCCAGAACAGTTAGGTAACTAGCCCAAAGCCACACAGCTAGTGAGGGGTGGAGGATTTTTTTTTTTTAATTTATTTGACAGATCACAAGTAGGCAGAGAGGCAGGCAGAGAGTGACAGGAGGAGGCAGGCTCCCTGCTGAGCAGAGAGCCCGATGCGGGACTTGATCCCAGGACCCTGAGATCGTGACCTGAGCCGAAGGCAGAGGCTTTAACCACTGAGCCACCCAGGTGCCCCGAGGATTTTCTTTTTAAAAGATTTTATTTACTTATTTGACCACACACACACACACACACACACACACACACACACACAGATCGCAAGTAGGCAGAGAGGCAGGCAGAGAGAGGGGGAAGCAGGCTCCCCGCTGAGCAGAGAACCTGATGCAGGGCTCGATCCCAGGACCCTGAGATCAGGACCTGAGCCGAAGGCAGAGGGTGAACCCACTGAGCCACCCAGGCGCCCCGAGGGGTGGAGGATTTGATTTCCATCTGCTGATGCTACACTTTGTTCTTTTAACCTCTGAGCTATGCTGCTTTGGGTTGTATGCCCTAAATCTAAGGGCCATGGGAACTCGGAAGAATCTTTAACAAGAGTGGAGTGTTTGGGTGTGGACAGGCATGAGACAAGACCCCTGGGAAGGGTGACTCCTGAGCTGGATGAAAAGGAATGAATCAGAGAAGGGACAATGGGGCAGAGTAATGTTCATAGATCCTGATGGACAAGATGGAGCTGCAGAGCTGCGTTCAATCCCAGAAATCTTGCTTACCACATCTGGATTTTTTAAAAAGATTTTATTTTATTTATTTGTCAGAAAGAGAGTGCACAAGCAGGGGGAGCAGGAGGAAGAGGGAGATGCAGGGTCCCCGCTGAGCGAGGAACCCAACATGGGTCTCAATCCCAGAACCCTGGGATCATGACCTGAACCAAAGGCAGATGCTTAACTGACTGAACCACCTAGGCATCCTCCACATCTGCATTTTCCTTGAATCCTTGTCCTGAAACTGAATGAAGAAACAGTGTTGGAAAAGCCATAAAATTCCACCTTGTACCATTTAGAGGAGGGGAGATATGAGAATCTTTGGCTGTCAAGGGACAAGTGCAACCTCTTTTATCACTCACACACAAGGCAAGTAATGAAACCCAAACATCAGCCTGAGATATGAAGAGACTGTTCTATAAAGATGTCAAACTCGAGCCCAGGGATGTCCTGTAGGGCCAAGGGAAGAGGAGGGTAATCAGCCAGTCTGGGAAAGTGGCAGGAAGGGAGCTGAATTCTAACTCTGGGGACCTCAACTCTGTTTGCTCAAACATAAAGTGGAATATCTTGGCTCTGCTCATGGGAATGAATGCAATGAATGCCATAAATGTATTTGTAAAACACTTTGAGTAAGTAAAGAGAATGCTGTGGGCTGGGAAGGGCATTCCAGAATCATGGTGCAGCTTTTGGGGATAAGGGCAGAATGATTAAGGAGGAGGCAGGATCTATGCTTCAGGAAGTTCTTGACATAAAGCTGAAGCCCATATCCCTGCTATTGGCAGGATCCTATTTCTAAGGTCAAGGGCCTCTTAGTTTGGGGACCTGGGGCAAGTCATTAACTACTGTATGCCTCAATTTCATTAGCCAAAGATGGAAATAATGACCCTTAATTTGTTGGAGAGATTTCACGGGATAATGTTGGGAAGGCACTTAGCATGATGCCTGGTCCTTCTAGATTCTGTGTGTGGTGAATTGGCTTAGCAAATAGGCTCCCCCCTGACTTTTGCATTGTGTAAATTAAAATTTTTTTTTTCATTTGTATTTATTTCTTTGAGAGAGAGAGAGAGAGAGAGAGAGCACAAGCAGGGGAAGAGGCAGAAGAAGGAGACTCCCCAGTGAGCAGAGAGCCTGACGTGGGTCTGGATCCCAAGATCCCAGGATCACGACCTGAGCTGAAAGCAGACTCTTAACCGACTGAGCCAACCAGGCGCACCTTACACTGTATAAACTAATTGATGTTTATCGAAGATTAAATGAGAAAACCAGTACTTTTTTAAAAAAAGATTTTATTTATTTATTTGACAGACAGAGATCACAAGTAGGCAGAGAGGCAGGCAGAGAGAGAGGGAAGGAAGCAGGCAGAGAGCCCAATGCGGGGCCCAATCCCAGGACTCTGGGATCATGACCTGAGCCGAAGGCAGAGGCTTTAACCCACTGAGTCACCCAGGCGCCCCAGTACTTTTAACTTTTGGTGTTCTGCATTGAGGACACCTTGAGGTTGAGTTACTATTTCCATTCATGATAGTAAACATTGTTCTGTAGAAGAATTGGCCCCAAAGAAAAGAATTGTGTCCAGGATATCACCTTTAAGACCATGATTAGGACAAATAAAAATCTTTTGAAAATGTGTGGGAGTTAGGTTTGATATAATTGTTATGTTCAGATAACTGAAATATGAAAGGGCTGGAGTCCCCCTACCTGTATCACCCTCTGGGACAAATACAGATTTTTACTACAGATGATTCTTCACCTTAAGGAATCATCATCCAGGGGTGCCTGGGTGGCTCAGTGGGTTAAACCTCTGCCTTCGGCTCGGATCCTAATTTGAGGGTCCTGGGATTGAGCCCCGCATCTGGCTCTCTGCTCAGCAGGGAGCCTGCTTCCTCCTCTCTCTGGCTGCCTCTCCGCCTACTTGTGATCTCTCTCTCTCTCTGTTAAATAAATAAAATCTTAAAAAAAAAAGAAGTAATTGTCCAAAAGAAATGAGTACTATTGACATTTTTTAAGAGGAAGTCTGTCCCTTTGTTGCTTCTGTGATGGATTCTAGTAAAAACATACATAAAGATGCTAAGAAACAGGATCTGACCCCTTGGGTTAGAAGGCATCAGCACGAAGTTTGCTTGTGAATTTCCATTCCCAAATGACATTTCTTCATTGCATCCACCTGTTTGGCGTTGTGTGTGATAAGGTGATGTTTCCAAACAGCAAACCGCAAACTTAGGGAGCAAACTTCTGGGATAAGACCAGGGGCAACATGGCAAGGGCGGTGTGCAGGAATCAGGTTTGGGGACCACAGAAATGCCCCTCCCTCCACCCCCACCCTCCGTCCTGTGTAATAGGGCCACCAACAGGGGTCTCTGGCCAGGTGTCTCTGGCCACCAACAGCACATGTAAATACAGCCCTCCAGAAAGGCACTGCTCACACAGAGGGGACCCAATGAGGCAGGAGATGCTTTGTCAAATGAGTATTGGTGAGGGTAACAGAAAAAAGGTGTGAAATGAGGGGAAGGGGCAAAAAGAGAGGGAAATGTCTGTACACCGATTCTTTCTCTTCTTTTTCTTCTTTCCTTTC